CCAACCCAAAAATAGGGTCTGTGATCTTTGTAGATTCCATTGGAGGCCAATGCATCCACCCAGGCGGTCACTTCATCGAGGCCCCTCGCCCGTTGCACACAGAATGGCAGGCCTGATGCCCGAGAGCCCGGACAGTCCCCAGGCCGCGGCTGGTGAGCAGGGTCAGGTGGTGAGGATCGGGGTGTGAAAAAAGAAGAACGATTTTGGATGGGTGTTGATTGGCCAAGCAATTGCAACATATTGACAGTCATGATGGGTTGTCATGAGTGACCTTTCTCTGGGCAGACGTTGCGATTGTCCGAACATCGCTTGAGTTGAGACGATCTAGCCTCTCTCAGACATGTACTCTGAGACGCGCCGGAAAACATGGTCGTCCTGCGCCAGAACCTTCCGTTTGGCCAGTCTCCCTCTCCCCTGTTGCAGGGTCTGGTGAATGTGGGATGTCTGAGAATTTAAAAGGACTGGTTTATCTTCTTGAAGAATGAAGGTGGTTGCCACACTTTGGCAAGTCTGCACACACAGTTGCGCTTGCGACAGGTCTGTGAGATGTTAGAGCTTCCTCCGGCGCGAGGCATGGAGACCGTGCGCGTGGGACATGCGAGTGCTTGAGAGTACTGCGTGGATGCTTGCCCAACCTACAATCCAAGCCAAGCTCAGCAAGCGGTGGAACACATGGACATCGTCATACAAAGGGCATTCTGCCTCAAAGGAATTTGACCCCTGAACCAATGGATGTTCATAGGTGCTTCTTTTTTTGCCTGTATTTGTGGGTGGAGCACACCACTTATGAGAGACCCAGAATCTCCTAGATATGTAGTGTTATTAGGGCAACCTTTGGGACGGGACGTGTGTTCATTTGATAAATTTGTTTAGAAGTGTATCTACATGTACAGTATTGTACAGTCAATGTACAGTACATGTGTATACATACAGTAAATATTATATATTATATATTTATGATATGTCATGTCAATCTCACTTGATCTACGTACAACAGTTGTCTTTGTGGTTGGTAGTGACACAACTTTGACTGGAAGTTTGGTGTGTACAGGTGTTTGCCTTAGAACTCCTACAAAACAACGAAGACCTCATTTTGTGCTTGGAAAGGGTAGGGGCTTTCAATTTTCTCGTGTTCAATCTGGCGGAGTGTGGGAACACTCGTAGTTGTCGGCAACAAAAGATGTGGCAAAGGTTGTCGTTGCTTGTTGGTTCTTACAGATGACGGGATGGGGCTCAGGTTTCAGGTCACTGAATTGCATCACTTCAGGCCTAAAACTACGTAAATCTGTGTATATCATGTGTTCTTGTACACCCTCAGTATTTGAAGCCATCCCAGACTCCAGTTCTGCGCAAGTCACGCATGGCTCAGTGGGTTCTCGATCCTCCCGAATTCCGTTGGCTAACTGAACAGGACAATTGGAAACTGAAGGTGATTGTGTTTGCCTTTCAGAGATTCAGAATGCATGTTTCTGACATATTAGAACATCACGTCACATCAATGTTAACATCATGTCACATCAATGTTAACATCAATCAACATCGATCACCTCACCCCACATCATCAACCCCCGGATTGCTGACGTCTGCGGGGCTGAGCAGCGCGAGGTCGAACGGAAGCCCGACGGCGTGCCATGACACCTCCAAGGCGGCGCTCAAAGAAAATGGCAACAGCTGGAAAGACAGGAAGACAAAAAAAACAGAGAAACTGTTGCTGGCAAGATTGCTCAAGTCTGAGATGTGTTATTCAAGTGACCTTCAATGCCGCTTTTGGGTGGTGATTTGGCTGTAGATAGGCTAAACACCAAGTTGCAGAGTAGATTTCCAGGTTCCCCTCTCTGTTGGTGCCACACTCCATGCGCCAGCCTGAACCCCGCGTCGGTAAGAGGCCGCGGAGCCTCCTGCCAGTCTTTAAGGCGAGGCATGAGGCACGGCATGTGCTTGTCGGAAACGCAACCATGCATTGACAATTTGCTAAGGTAAATCGAGCAGCTACTCGGTGATCTATCTTAGCTCAATCCTACAATGCACTTCTTTTGGCTTTTGGCTCCCAACCTAGCAACGGAATTTACCATCCAATGCCACCTGGGTTGCACCTCTTCCCAATGATCTCACCATGTTTGGAGTGCAGCACTCTCACGCCAGCGATGACAGCAGGATGATCACAGCAGTGACCCAGAGCAGGAGGTGACCTGGAGCTGGCTGGTGCTGGGGGCTGCTGGCAGGAAATAACAGAGCCGCGGGCACCTGCAGGATGGAACCTGCCTACTCCGTGACATGAGCTATTTTGTGAGGGCGGAGATGAGGTAAAGCATGTGGCTGACGTTTTGGGTAGTAGTCCCTGGAAATGGATGTGTCCACCCGCCTCTGTGGGGCTTTTCTTCGTGTCGACGTTTTGGAGGGCCACACCCCTCATGTTCTTGGGCAGTGACACAGAGAAGGGGGCAGACAAGAAGGCCGTAGTAAAGAGAGCGAGCGCCGTAGGAACTTGGAAGTGACGTGTGTTTGAGGTAAAGGTGCAACCAAAGGTGCAAAGAAGAAGGCTCTGCGGAGAAGATCAAAAGTGCCTGAAGTGACGCTTCATGTTGCACAGAAAGAGGCTGTAGGTTGCAGGTTGCAGCCAGGCCTACCACGCCTGCGTGCTTGTTTAGTGTCGGACGGAGCGGCGTCCCAAGTCCCGGTATACTTCCCGAGTCCCAGCTGAGGCCGTGTTCAAAGGCGCCCTGAGTCTTTTGACCTGACTGGATGTGGCCCAAACATCGATTGGTCGAGAAAGAACCAATGTCACTGGCTACCTGCCAGGTTCCGCCGCACGTCAGCCATTGGCGAGAGCTGGAAAAGATCAAGAAGGCCGACCGGCGAGGATTGCAAAGGATGCGAAATCCTACAGGAAACCCATAGTTTTGGGGATGGAAAACCATGGTTTCCTGTAGATTTTCCCTTAAACCAATTCTGGGAGAAATGTTTGTTTGTTTCTTGTTCTCCTTTGTTTTTGCACAGCATGGGTTCTTGGGTTCTGTTCAAGCATCAGACACGTGTTTTTCAGTTCAATCCTTCTGCCATTGGCAGTAGTGTGAACCTCCTGGAACTCATCATGCTCAGGAGATCGAACATCTCCATGCCAAGGTCTCTCGAACTGCACAGGAACCGCGGGAAACTGCCGGATCGGGTGTTTCTTTTCTGAGACTGGGTGACAGTCTCAGTCCCTGCAACAACCAGACCAAAGGTATCCAAAGGAACACACATGTCATAGAAGACCAGTTGCAGGGCAGTTTAGATGACATGTGTATATATATATATGTATACAAGTATATTTGTACATACAAGCATATATACTCATTGTGTATAGAACATGTGTATATATATATATTTACATATCATGCAACCATATATTTACATTGTTATATTGTAATTATGCATGTAATGCACTTCCAGGTGTTTTCGGACCAAGTTCTTTTCCCAGTTCCCATCCCCGGGCAAGCCCGGTGGGAAAAGCCGAACAGGGAGGTCCTCATATATTAGTCTAATAAGTCCAAACAACTCCCAGTCTTTAAGGTCTAAGGTTTGAAATTATCGCTTTGGCAACACATCCAAGGTCTAAAGACTTGTAGGCCTTCAAGATCTAAGGTTTGGCCAAACTCGGAAACAGACGAAATCACACATGTCAACCTTCTCCTTTGCCGTCCTTTGTCACACTCCCAGCGACGACTTGGACGGACTTGTGAGGCCCAAAGTCCGCGCCAAGGCGGGGAAGGAGGTGGTTGGGGGGTGGGGAAGAACCTCCAAAGGGGTTTTGTATTCGTTTGTCACACAAGGAGTTTGAAGACCAGAACTCCAGGTTGCATATGAACCCCTTTGGAGTTCTGAGAACCAATACATATATATTTGACACAATATTCATATCCCCGAACCGGAATTTTAACATCTTCAAACTCCGGGAGATCCCGAGATCCCCGAAATCGGCGACCATGTCCCGAACCAAACTCAAGGGGGTCTCCCTGTTTGAGCTACACACAAATGTTCCTGGAGGGTCCAGCGGTACCTTCTGATTTCATCGGGATGGAATAAGATCGGCCCCTTTTCAACCCACACTGATCTTCAATTTTCCACACGTGAAGTGTCGACAATTTAATCACCATGTTTTCCATTTGGTACAGAGGGACATTCACATGTCTTCCTTCATCAGAGTCTCTCATTAAGAGCGGAGACCCTCAGAACTGGTAAGAACGATTAAAATAAGTCATCACATCTTCCACATGTTGCCCTTGAAGACATCTTCCACAGGTCGCTCTCAAACTAAGAATCACTTCGAGCTTTGCGGTCGCACTCCGGAAACATCTCCACGACCGCAGTGTTTGTTGCTTGAGCCGAGAGTCACCACTGAAACGGGTCGCTGGGCAGCCTCAAACTCAAGGACATTCCACGGCCACCATTCTCGAACAATGATACAGGTTGAACAGTAAGACCGGAGGTAGGAGCGCAAAGCCACTTGCTTGATCTTGCTTCTATAGAGGAAAGCTGAAATTTGCCTGCACATGGCATTTAATGCTTTTGTGGAGTAAAACTGAAGAACTTCCTCCCATGGGATGAACCCTCCTTCATATGTACACCAATATTATATTGCCACTTGAACACACGCTCAAGAGAAACCTTCCGATACAATGTACGACTCACAGACTCACTGATACCAAAAACCACCAGGCGGCCGGTCCGTTTGCCAAGACCAACATCTCACAAACCGACAATGCCAATGATGTGCAACGCATGAGCTGTGAAACACCAGCAACAACAAAAAGACAAGTCGACTCTTGGTCAACGAACATGGACAGGTAAATATGCTTATGAAATCTTATGAACAAGTCCTCCTTCCTTGTTTGTTAGTCCCTCACCTTCAGAGATGCAAAGATGAATCGCACACGCCGAACAATGCGGCGAGCCATCCATGCTGGTCGACGTGGGACTGCTTACGACAGTTTCTTCCTCACGTGTTGGTCACCCCGCGCATGAGCGCTTGGGATGATGATGAGGAGGACTGCCATGACTCCGTGACCAGTGACCACCACCACATGGCGTACACCCCCCCCCTAAGAGGTTTCCATTCCCGATCTCCTGGCAATCATCATTGCAAATGGAGCTGTTTCCCTTTAAATTGCCTATTCAAAGGGAGGTACGTCGTAGGGTGGTTTGGTAGATCGTCGTAGGGAGGTACTCCGAGGACCTTTAGCTCCCAAACAGTCCCAGCCCGAGCCAACGTGGAGTTTAGCTCCCTTTCGGTTCCCCACCTTCGAACGTAGCCCGTTCGAACGGTCCAGTCTCCTGGTCGGTCGGTATCGGTTTTGGTATGACCATGTCCAGTTGGCAATGAAGTCAGCTCCTGACTTGTAGTACTTGTAGGGTATGAAAACACGGTTGTGAGGGGAATCCAGGGTGTTTTCCTGTCGCTTTTGCATCCGAACCTTGGAATCCACGGATGAGAAGGTGGCACATGATGGTATGGTGACTGTTTCAGCCACACGGATGAGCTAGCAAGACCTAGCCTAGCCTAGTGACATTTTGTGTCCCCCTTTGTGCAGCTTGAACACCAGATGGCAAAGAATCCAGTCGGTTTTGTTGGGCTGAACCAGTGAAGAGGGCACGGCTCATGAATCGCAGATTATCGCGTCCATGTCCTATGAGTGTGGGACAGCATTCTTTGGGTTGTCAGGGCATGTCTCTTCGAAGATCGTCTCCCACCGGAGACGATTCGTAAGCTCATGTATATGATGACAACCATTTGGGCCATGACTTACCATGTTCAATTTCTTTTTAATTTTGGGTCACATCCTACGCATCGTGGTAACAAAGGACCCTCCTTTTCTCCGGTGGACCCGTCCAGGACGAAGCCCTCATCGAGCGCCCAAAGCAGCGAGCCGCGCAGCCGCATCCGTCGCTCGAGCTGCTCCGCGGCGTGGTGGCTCCTCGGACCGGGGGACCGGGGGACCGGGAGGAGACGCATGCAGCGAGGGTGCCGAAGAGTGCAGAGTGCAGGGAGGTCAAACGAATCGTTTGAGTCCCACATGCCTCTTGGTCATTGAATTGTCATGACATGGAATGATATGGAGGTGGTGCTCGGTCCACTTTTTTTTTTTTGCACCTCGCTTCTTTTTCACTTGCCAAGCCGATGGCTGATGCAACCTGTTGGTCCTGTTGCTGCGATCGAAGCGAACAAATCCGCAGGTTGTTTGGGTGGCGGCCTGGCGGACTCAAACTAGCCAACACTTTAGCCGAAGATTTGTTGCATCTCAAAAGGGTGCTAGAATACCGTTTTGCCACAAGTTTTAGATAGTTTTAGCGCATTCCTGTGCCCAATGTTATGGGCTGAGGCTGAGGTGTTGACTGCCAGCCCTGAAAAGGATTGAAAAGGAATGTTGTGGAGGTTCGAACACCCAGCTATATGAGCTGGTCTTGTATTCTCCGTTGCGCTAGTAGTCTTGGGTTGTGTGAGCGTCGTGCATGGCATACAACGTTCCAAGATTATTATCAAAGTATCCCATTCTCATAGAGTTACTATCAAACCGTCAGGTGCCCAGTTTGGTGCTGAAAACGAGGCCCGCCTCTACTACTCTCAGATTACGGCCGGGCTGTACCTGGCCACCATGGTGCTCGCCTGAATCCCAGCTGCTGGAGGGTCTGGCCTTGGCACCCCGGGCAGTCCACTGATCCAAGGTCTTACTTGAAGAATTCCAACCAAGTCTTTAAACTATCTATAGGGAAACCAACGTGCATTTGCTGGGGCTAGCTGGATTGTCCTACACACATGCAAAAATGACGCTGATTGGGGTAGCTTCGTGACCTGGCAAGGCACAAGCCAGTGCCGGCAAGTGAGAAGTCCAATGACAAACACGACAAGTCCATGGCGCTCACCATGGCGCTCACCCGACCCATGGGATCTCACCGTGTTGGCGGTGTTGGCTTTGTGATTGATGAGACCTAGCATGCTCAGCATGCTGACGCGCACAAAGGTCATGACATATATACCCATCGATACCTATCATTAATAAACTGAATTCTTGAGGTTGTCGACCATTTTTGCTGCGGAGTCTCTTGAGAAGGTCAAACATGAATTGCCATCCGAAGTCAGAAGTTGTAAGTTTACATGTTATGTTGGGATGTGCTTGGACACTTGAACACATGAAAACATGAACACCCAACGATGAGCCGACGAGACATGACATACGTCAAGTAATTACATAAAGAAAATATGTCTGTTTGCGTGTTCAATCATACGGATCTAAGGGGAATGTTTAGACACAAAGGCATTCAACAGAACACAACGAAAGTGTGATACACACACACACACACACTGTGCGCACTGGTTCGTGGGTCTCAACAACGTGTGTCGCGCTTTGCTCCGCTGTAGCCGCCCAAAGCTGGGAACTCATCGAAGCATCACACGAAACACCAGAACCCCCACTCAGCACACACACCCAGCCCACAAGCCAAAACTGCGAACACCGGAGCTACAGGTCAATGGAAATCGGACCAACAAAACAAATCAACCTCTTTGAGAGTTACACAATTTGTAGGGAGCGGCCGCCGTGGTGTTCTTGCCTGGCGCAACCTGTCACCCGTCAGATGGTGGCCTCTCCCGTCAGCCACATGGACGAAATCCGACCCCCGAACACCCCAAAGGTAGGCGCCGCCCTACGACACTTGGAAACAGCACAGGTTTGCAGGATTTCAAGTCTGGTACTGGTACTAGCATCTAATTTGCAGGCAAGCGCAACAAACCAAGTTAAGATGGAGGGCAATGGCCCCGTTGGTTGATTCCCGCATGTGTGCCAAGCTGTGGCGAGTCTGATCGGAGTGTTTTTTTTTTCACTATGTGCTCTTGACTTTCGAGCTGTCCGTGGTCTGAGACCTAGGCCTCCAAGTACCTCAATATGACTTTAATATGACTATCCCTGTAGGCCTCCAAGTACCTTCTGAGAAGGTGGGACTGGGGTGGATTTGGAGGGTCCAAATACCTTCTGAGCAGGTACTTGGAGGTGTAGGGTATGTATGACTAGATGCACCGAGCACTTCTTTAAGCTTTGTTGACCCGTTTGAAGCAGTGGCGCCATTCGCATCGCCCCCAGGCGGCACTGCTCTTGTGCATCACCTTGGGCATGGAAACCCCGCTGCGCGACGCGCCAAGAGCTTTGCTGTTTTTGGAGGCGGTGGCAGCCGATGGGGCCCGGTGTTTTAGGTTCGTTTAAAACTTAACTGTAGATGTTTAGAGAAGAGCGGATATGAGCGGATAATTTCCACACAAAGTTGACATGTTGAACCATGTTGCGGTAAAGTTTTGATGATGGGTCTTTATCCTTAATGTTTTTGTGGGGCAATGGGTGGGTCCTACATGTAGGGCCTCTGTAGGACGTTTGGTTCGATGCCAATTTCTCGCTTCTTGGGAGCAGCACCGCCCAACGACCCAGAAGGCCGTTTCGGTCGACCTGGTGGTTTCGTTCGACCTGACCGCGGTGTATCCCGCGGTGTGCAGGGCATCATCACCTTGTCCTTGGTGGTGGAGGTGATTCTCCGTGCCATCGTACAAGGCTGTCCGATGCGCCCCCTGCCAGACGCGAGAGACCGGCGCGGGGTGGGTCACGCGTGGGACTTGGGGGTTAAGGGATGTGACAAGTCTCGTTGCACGGGCCTCACTTTTCAATTTATTGGCAATTTGTGTGACTGGCAACAGATGAGCACTACATGGCACTACTTGATTTACATCCTCCAGAAAATGCTTGATCTACAAATTTACAACCCCCAGCAAAAACTTCATGTCATTTCCGGACACTCTGAGAACACACCGCGACTGCGCGAGTTGGACCATAACTTTCACGGTCAGAGTCAGTTCCCAGAACCTTTGGAGGCCGAAACTACTTGAAGTCTTGGCCAGAACCTCAGAAGGGCCGTTCTGTTTCGTGACCTTCCGTAAGGAAGACCTTCCAAAATGAAAGCGAAAGAAAAGGATCAGCCATTTTGAGCCGCTTACGCTTCAATTTCCGTGGAACTGCAGAGGTCAGCGTCTAAGTTGCTAGTACTATGTATCGACCACTTCTGATATCTTCTGATGGGGCTTTCACAGGAAAGTCGTTGACGCAGGACCTGGCACATTGGGTGAACTCAGCGCGTGTTGAAATGATGATCAATAGTGCCTTAAAAATGGATTGAAACACATATATGTCATATAATACAAAGGGATGGTCGAATCTTGGCCGTTGGATGCACTTCGGGGCGCACGAAGCAAATCATATCCAAAGAAATTGGCTGGATTGGGATTTGTCATCGACGAGTAATCCGGCCTTTGGCCTTTCGTCACATGGTCAATGCTGACTCCCATCAAAACCTGGAGCCCCAACATGTAAGGATTTTCCGGGTTTGACCCACAGTGAACTGAGTGTGTCTAGAATAGGAAGACCTCCCAATTCGACCATTTTGACCCCCTTGGAAGAAGGAAAATAGACTTGTCTACCTGGGCCAGGGTGTCTCCCTATTTAAAAAAACAGATCCAACTCATCCTCAAAACAAATGAGAACTATAGACTCTAGACCAGCGGACTCCCCAGCTTACCTTTTTTGAGCATGTGGCCATGACTCCAATAAGAGCTTATAGTTATCAACATGTATCATCATGTATCAACCTGTCATCCAGAGGCAAGAGAAAGAGAAACACTTGGACCTCCATACCTACTGGATCCCTGGTGTTTACCTCAGCTTCATGAGCATTGATTCCACCAACCATGGTTCACCTGCTGGATCTTTGCCATTTTTTGGCTGCCTTCATTTTTTCCCAAAACCAATCTATTTCTTCTCCTGCCTTCGACTTCTCCGCCGTCGTTTCTTTAGTGTTGTTTCAAATTTCTATATTGCTGTGATTTGCTGTGATTTCTATTTTATGATATGGTTTTTTCATGGTTTTTCTGCTTTAAACGTGTGATTTTACAATGTTCAATACTATTCTATATATATATATATATGTTGTTTTTGTTTACTCTATTTTTGTTTTATTGTTTGTTTTTTTGCAGCCTCAGGGAGCGTCCGGGAGCGTCGTTCAGGTGGAACGCGGTGGATGGCAGCCTTGCCGTGCTCAGCTCCGGTGCGCGGCAGAGATCGAAGACGTTCACTTGTTGAACAAATCAGAGGTAAATCGAGGAAGACGGATGAAAGTATGGTATTTGATTGTTTTGGCATACTTGACTTAGGATATCACTTAGGATCTTGCTTTCGGAAGATGTTTCGAGGCCATGTGCTTGTTTATTTGTTTTGGCTTGGGGTCCAAACTACATCGAGATAAACCAAGCATCACCAGACCATGGTTACATGGTTGAAACATTCCCGGTTTTCTTTTGTTTTGAGATGCTCACTGCTCACTGGGGTATGCTTGGGGATCTTGGTGTGTGTGGTTTTGACATGTTTTGACCCACATCCGTACGTCCATTTGTGCAGAGAATTCATTCGGTCCGTTTGCAGTGGATCTCAGACATCAAGGAGTTGAACATGCCCTGGCAAGCTATATATGGCATATTTTCCTACATTTCCATTGGGATGGTTTCAGGGGTCCATATAGTAGGTAAATACACATTACTATTTATAAATATTCAAGTATTCCACAGATGGAGTCTTTGGGATCCAACCAGCTCACTCACCTGCAACGCCTGGACAAAACCTTGTCGGAGCACAAGGACACCAACTGCAAATCAATCAATGATGAACCATTTGCATCTTTAGACTGTTGGTTGCATGACACCAAAACCAAAAGCCAACAATCGCTGGTAAAAAAAATCGTTCTAAAAAACCAGACTGCAGAGGATCGAACCCGACACGAAAGCACGGTCGTTTGCCAGGTCTTTTCTTCTTTGCAGCCACATGCTCAGTTTACATGTTCTTTATTTTTGTTGACCATGTCAACGTTATGAGAGGACATGATCATGCGAGATGTGGGAGTCGGCGAAGCGGGGTCTTGGGCTTTTTCGCGGCGGTGCGTATGCGCCCAGACACCCAGACACTCCATGATACTGGAATCTTTACCTGCAGCCTGGGACTTATATTATACCCAAACACTCACTGGAATCTTTGGGGTGGATTCAGTGATTCAGAGGGAAAAAATGCCATAGATTAGTGTTTGGGCGCATCACCCGGTGGCATCGTATGGGGTTGCATGGCTCCGACACGAAGCTGGGCCACGTCAGAGGCCCCAAGGGCTGCCGGAGAGGCGCAGAAGGAGGATGTCGAGCTCAGTCAGCTCGGGGGCACGGGTCGAAAGAGTCAGTCGGTGAACCGATGCTCGGATGCTTCTTGGATGCTTGATTCATGGGTTGACGGTTGACGGTTCAGTTGAGTTCATGGTGTTTTTGATCAGGCTCATGGTTCTTTTGATTCCTCGGCTGACGTTGTTTAATGGTGTTTCACGAGCTCACCCGGTGGGTGCCGAGCTCAGCCCGTGCTCTCTGAGTCATTACACCTTTGGAAGATGAGCTGACCTGAAGACATCTGAAATCCACAGGTTTTTGGGAAGCTTTAACATGCCACGAGCGCTCGGCGCTCCATGTGAAGGAGGTTCCATGTGAATCTTCCTGGACTTAACATGGAAGTGGATGGCACCAGCAAATTTGGAGAGGATGTCAGGGTCATCCAAGGGGCCAATGCTATCCACTTCCATGATTCTTCCAGGGACTGTAGCCATCCACGCCAGCAGGTCATGTGGCCAGGGCAGCCATTGACAATTCGGATTTAGTACAGAGAGTATCACTCAGACGCTCCATGTAATGCCCTTGTTACTAGTAGCTTCTAGCTACTAATATAATTTACCGACATTGGGGTTGTTATAATAGTCCATGCATAGAATAGGTATGATTCCATACATGGAGTGTTTGCTTCATGGAGTTTGCCACAGGTTCCTACCCTCTCAGGTAGCGCTGGGGTGTTTCGTTTGAGCCCGTCACGCACCATTCCCAGGTCACTGGTCATGGCGCGCGTGATCTTTCAGTTCGTGCGGGTCTTGCGAATCGTACGGGGCCCCGGGCTGCGGGGAAGAACAAGACTTGTGGAGCATTTCTCCCGTTGCGTTCGCCGAAAAGTGGATGCCAAGATGTGCCAAGAGTGGAGTGAAACTCCTGATACCGAGCCTTGCAGGTAGTAATGAGAATGTATTATAATGATCAGGTTCTTGGGCAGTGCGGTGCTGGAATGTTCACGAACTTCATTTTGGTCGAGATCCCTTATAATATAAGATGTTGGCATGTTGCTGGAGGCCAGAATCAGGCATGCCCCAAGCAGCTCCTAGCCAACGCAAAAGGAGTCAGGGTTGTTTCTTATATGCACATCCAGCCACTACGTTATCCCAAACAATCCATGGTCCATGTGAAGATTTCTTTGACCACCTCAATGGTTCCCCCGGCCCCGGAAATAAAGAATCGTCCGCGAGCCGAAACTTGGAGACCTGTAGTGTTTGGGCTCAGCAGATGATATATATATATATATACCTTGACCTTCTTTCGGGGTGTCCAATGGAGGTCCCTTAGTGGTGTAGGGGCTTCCATTGGTGACCCCTTTGAAGGTGCCGGTATATCAGACTGAGTCCATCTGAGTCCCATGGAGTTTTTGGGGTATCTTGAAGGACCGCTTCTGGTCGACCAAAAGAGGCTTCCGGGATCCAAGGCCTCCCTTGCCCGGCGCGCCAGCACCGCGCGCGGGCCCGACGTGTCCTTCGCCAACGTGACTGAAATGCTGATCGGATGCAGTGGCCAACGGGGGTGGAGTGGCAGATGGTGGCAGCGCACGACGCAGCTTTTAGAAGGTTTGATCATGCCGACTGGCCTCTTTTGGAGTTCCTTCCTGGATACGTGGGATAGAGGGATACTGGCCTCTAAGTGTCTCAGGAGGTGCATGCACACCTCTTAAGAGGGAAGCCAAAGAAAAATTTGCTGGGTGGCTCGGAGGCTCAGCACTTGAGGTTTTAAGCCGGATCAGGCCATTGCAGCAAAGCTCACGGTAAACAGAACCGAACAGAACTGAGACATTGCGGGCGTCAAATGATGTTTAATCCAAGCGCAGCGCAATTCCAGAAACTATTGGCATCTATTGGCCTTTCGTTCAGGTCCGCGACTCGATTGGTATGCCATTCCGCCCGACCTCAGTTGCCTCCAATCTGTCATCCCACTGTGGACCATCCCAGAAATTTCACAGTTTCACTGAACAACAAAAGCTTGCAGAAACTTAGGATTAGTCATAAGGTGCCTGATCTTGGAATCCATACCCAGATTAGATCAGATTAGCCAATTACCCACAATCCAACACTGGATGCAGTCCAACAAATTATCCCAAGGTTTGTTGGCGCTTTAGATGTCACATCCTTGCAGCTGCCTCAATGTTCTTGTCTTGGTATGAGGTTGTTAAGTGCTTTCTCGCATACCCAACTGTCTGATGGAGCCAACTGCAAGCCAGTCCAAAGCTTCAAATACATTAAAAAACCCATGTTATTAGTTAAGGGTTTTTGAAGTCAACACTTCTCTTAGGTATTCCTTTTTTGGGGCGGGGGTTATTAAGTCCGTGTTATTATTATCCAGTCAAAACTCAAAACTTCTATTAGATTAGGTTCATAGTCCTAAGTAGAGCCCCCCGGTATACAGTACCTGTTACCATGTAACGAGGGGTCGGAAGAGGGAAACGACACGAAGACCGATTCCTGTTACCACCAAATGGCTATGCGTCCAAAGCCGCCTGGTTGACCACCAAACATGAACAGAATCAACATCAAAAGATGAAGCTACAGACGTTACCAGGCTTTGGGGCTCCAGGTTGTTCACCCCTAGCAACCTACCAACCTACCAAGCCGTTTGGCTTTTCTTTCATTTGTCCTGCTCCGGGCCCTTCCGGCCGATTCCGCGGTGACGCTCCGCCCACGCGGACGCGGCCGGTGCGGACGGAGGTTGGAATTTACCGACCTGGAGGACTTCGACTTTACGCTCCTCAAGCAGGAGACGGACGTCTTTACGCCCAGACCATCCATGGGAATTCGGCCCTTCAGACCGGGTGCTTCTCTAGGTCTTGGTCGCTTCCCAAAGCAGCCACAGTTTTTATTCAAACGAATGTAGAAACAACTTCCTGAGCGCCGGACGAGTGGATCCTTTGTCTCAACTCGCCGGCCAGTCGTCTGTGCTCAAGATGACATGAACTTCTCACATGAGTCACACGGCACTTTGCATGGTTCCACGGCAGATTGTCCAAGGCAGCCACCATGCAAGAAAGGGTCCATAAGGGACGTGACAACTGCGCCCACAAGTTCGACACTTCTTTTCCTCTAGGTATGGAGCTCGACGAAGCAAAGGCAATGCTTTGCCTTTTGCACCGCGCGCGCCGGCTGATGAGTTCGCTGCTTTCCGCTGCTGGCTGAAGGAGCCCTCCACCGTTTTGCTCTCTCCATTCTCCCCTCTCCTCCCTACTCTTCGAGACACGGAAGACACGAGTTGTGTGAAGAAAAAGGTGAAGAGAGACGCGGAAGACACGAGTTGTGAAGATAAGGCGAAGAGAGGCAGAGACACAGGAGACAGGAGTTGTGAAGAAAAGACAGGCAAGGACGCCTTTACTTTCCACGTTCATCCTTCTCTGTCACCTCCGACTTTTTCTAGCTAGTCCTCCAACCGCTGATTACAGGACTCACCTGTAGGGAACGAAAGACTGAACAAATTGCCTTTGTGGTGCTTGCGAACATCCTTTTCTACCGCAGCTCAGGGGGAAAGTAGCGTTTTCTGTCTTGTAGGTGCAAGTTGCTCTGGGCCACCGCAACATATCTTTTTTCCGACTCTTGATGAGTCTTCCCATCCAATGACAACCCGGAACATCCCTCAGCATGAGCTGCTCATGTTCCTGAAACAAGGCAGCGCCTGCTTGTGAAAGTGTCTCGAATTTGGAGAGTGTTGTCTGGAAAGATGGGTAGCACTCCTATGAACGAGGAAGCGTTCCGTGAAGTGGAGTCCCACGAAGAGCACGAAGGTGTCCCACAGCAGGGTCACTGGGACACATCATTTTTCCGATGCCCAAAACTAAAGGTTTCACGCTGCTTTATTGGCGCTCTTTTTACATGTTGTCTAGCCTTGAGGTGAGAGGTTGACTTCTGGCCGCGTCCTCAAAATATTGATCACGTGTATGGTCGAGGCAGGCTCTCAAAGGCGGGTGCGATCCTTTCAAGCAGCCTCAAGGATGGTGGACGAGGAGGGGCGGCTGTGAGTGCATCCAGCCCGTTTGAGCAATCTTCCGAAATGTTCCGAAAGGTTTGAGCCTGGTTAGTCCTGGTGAGCAAGGCATCACTTGTTGAAGCGTGCAGGGCCCGCTCCGGTTCCTTTCACCGCTGAAAAGCGAGGGATCGTTGGCCGCAGACGACAGATCGCGGACTGTGTGGGGGGTGTCGGTCGGTTGCAATCCTCATGTATTTTATCAGGCGAGGTGCTGGTAATTAAGGGTCGCCAAGCATAGAGAAAGCACTTGGGAGCAGGGATAGCTGCCGCATGTGTGCAGAGGAGCAATGTGTCGTGAACAAAAAAACACGAGAAACAAAAAAAGGCAAGGGCTTGCTCTAGGGCATAAGTTGACTCCTGCCGGTGGAGCGGGTGAAGGGAAATCAAATGAGCAACATGTAACCAGCAAAGCATAAGCAAGGGAGCTTGGCTCAAGGGTGGGAGACGCAATACGGCCCTAAGTAACTATTCCATACATGGATGGTCTGGGAATTGTCCACCCAGGGTCCGGTGGACCAGCGTGATTCGGGACAAGTTCGGGACGAAACGAATGCCCTTGTTGGTTGGTGGCTTGGGGAGTAGTGACAAACATGGCCAGGCCGGTTTTTGTGGTGCTAATAAGAGATCGTCGTGAGAAGATCATGGATTTTTTTGTTGGGATGTGGATGAATGAATGGATCGCCGTGTCGGTGGGGACGATCCCGGCGGAACTTGGGAAGTAAGATGACTGGAAAATGGGAAAGCCACAATCTTCAAACCTCACCTAGCAGCGGACAACAAAAAACATCACATTCCCTCAACTTTGCCGCTGCCAACGTTTTGGTTTGAAACTGTTTTCGTGTTAATTGCCCTTCATTGCGCACTGCCAGTGTCGGTGAGACTCTTGGACGACCGGACGAACAACACGGGCGAATAGGAAACTATGTTTTCCATTGTTTTCCTAGGTCAACGTCCTTTAAGTTGTTGTTTCAACATTTGGAAAATTATTCATCTTTGTTCAATCCACCCAAGAGTTGGTAAAATGATGTGAAATGTGTGTTGTTTCTAAAATGTCGTTTTGATCATCCACATAGGCTCCAAGGCTACAGTCTTAGGCATCAATATTGCAATTTTGGAGTTATTCTACTACTCGTTTTGTCATGTAAACAGGTGTTTTACCAACATTGCAAAACACTCTGGGTGACTGAATCCTTCACTCCGCTGACCTCAACCGTGGCGTCGTTGAGAGGAGATCCAAGATCAACATCGCAAAGATGACTTTGGCCTCTGACAGATATCCCACGTCTTCATCTTCATCACGCGTCCGTACAGCAACCCGATGCGGGTGATCAATCCATTTGGTAGGACGGTAGAACCAGCAAATGAGTTGATATGAGTTGAATGGCCGGCTTTGAAGACGAGGAGACGTTCTGCAATCAAGTGCCATTGTTTTTCGCTGAATCACATCTGTGATTCCTGACTGCCATGTCATGTCAGTTCATTTGCTGGACAGCGTGGGGTCTTGACGATGCTGACTGGCCATCGGAATCACAAGAGAGACACGTGTTCGGCGGTCGTGGGTATGCTTGTGTTTCCCAAACACCCCGTGTATGCAGTGTGTGCCTACATTGACCCTCAAACCTCCTTTTCCACTGCACTGGCACGAAACAATGGACCCTCAACAAATCCAGCGGCCAATGGAGAAACGACCAGGGGTTAAAGATCCTGAACACGTTTGGTTCAAGCCAGACAAATCTAGCTGTGCACCACCTGTGAATTCCTAGAGCTGTAAGTTGTAAGTACAAATCATTGCAGCATCAATACCGAATGACTGACAATCAAGTACCCTCCCTGGAAAGACAATTTTCCTCTAGAAACAGGTGGTTGGCCACTTCCATGTTTATTGGAGGGAGAGTATGTTTTAGCTGTCAACTCCTCACCTGTTTCAGCAGGACTTGCTTGCATGCACTTGCCCTAGCAATCCCCTGCTAGCAACCGGCGTTTCTTTTTATAATGTTTTCTGGCAGACTGGAGGCATACCTTTTCCAGAAGGTCTGTGGAAAGATCACAACTTAGTTTAAAGACAGCTCCAAGTTCAACTGAAGCACCAAAAGCACCAAAGAAGATCCGAAAAAAGAACTCCAAAAGCATCCAGTTTTGGTGGTACTTCCTTACGCCCGGAAGTGGTTTGAAATTTGGACCACCTGGCCTTTTTGTGCTCATCCGCACTGCCACAGTATGTTCTTTTGGTTTCCCCTACCGCTCATGGCAGGTGCCCGGGCAGCGTTCAGCCTGGCATGTTTGTGGGACGGGACGTTCAAACCTCCAAACCTCCGCGCCCTCCGTACGGTTCACCACGTGGTACGGACGGTCTTGAGGGTCGGTCGGTGCTTGGTGTTGGGACTCGCAGGAAGCATGCGAATGTCTTTGGATGAAGGACAGGGAAGTGTTTGGGCACCAGCAGCATGGATAGAATGGTTTCACCCCCTCTAAACTCTGTAGACATCAAGACGTACGCCGTTTCTGATTCTTTTGGAACCACCTAGGGATCGTGTTTGTAAATATCCTCAATTCTCGTCAGTAGCTAACGGGATCTGAGAAAGAATCGATCGGAGTCAGACGCGTTCGAGCGTAGACCTGGTTGCTGCGTACGCCAAACATCTCTCCCAACGGAAGATGGACCATGCCTCCTGAAACGTTGAGTGGGAGGGCTTAGTCTCAAATTTGTATTGATCAATCGGAGGGAGTTGAGGGAGAGAAGGTCATACCGAGTCATACTCATTCTGTTGCTTTGTCCCATTCTGCGAGGGGCCGCTCTTTGGTTCAAAAGGACAGCAGCCTAAAACACCTTGAATGGGGTTGGTTGAGCCACGCCAATTGGCCCAGTTTATAATGTTTACTGATCAATCCGTTTGAGACGGCCCCCCCCTCTCAGCTGACCCGAGTTTTCGGTGTCAAGAAGACGGTGGCCATGGCATCGCAACTTAGAGAGGGTCCAGCAGTCCAGCATCAATCTCGAATCTGACCTCTTGAAGGACCAGAAGGACCTGACCTGATCTGACCCGACCTGAGCTAAGCTGTTGAAATCTTGAACCTGACCTGTTTCATTGAAGGAAGTTTTATGATTTATGATATCCCAGGATTCTTCGATCTTCCGCAATAGACCAGTGTGTCAAGAGTCAATCCTGTTCTACACCGTCGCCCGGCCGCAGCCGCTTTGACGCTGTAGCCACCCAGATGGCAGTTGAGCGTGCATGCTCCAAGACGGTATAGAGTTAGTGAACTATTGACCATTCTTGCACGTTGCACGCAACAAGACGCGCTTTGTACGTGCTGTGCAAGTCAGAGTCATCATCATCATCATCATCATCAGAGGTTTAATTGGCTGATGCCAGCTTTCACTGCAGCTGCACAGTCACCTCACCACAGCAACCTCAAGTGCACATTCACAAGGTTCACACCATTTGAATTCTGTGATACTCGGCGGGGCCGCCAGGCAGGCTTGGGATCTTGTGGCAAATCAGAGACGCTCCCCATACACACCCTGCGACTTCCCAGTTCTGGGGGTCGATATTCCAACGGGAAGCGTCACTGTTCATTCTGACCAGCGACCTGGGGCAGCGACCTGTCAAAAGGTTGACAGTCACTTCCTTCAAACTTCAAAGTGACTGCATGCTGGCATGCTCCTTAGTTACTGTGAAGGGTCTGGAGATACATATAACTACATTTATATATATAATAGATATATATATAATATTATATCATCTCATGTTCTGTAAGCAAAACCTGAGAAACCTTTCGGAACGTTTTTGGACGCACAACTCACTTTGCCACCTCCCCCAGGCGTTCGAAAGGATTCCTTGGACTTTCGAAGCACCAAAGCCACAGGTTGTCCGAATGGGGCAGCTTTGTCGGGGGCCCTGGGCTGCGAAACCGACGACGGTAGTAGCAACGAGACTGGTGGCCGAACTCATTCTTCAGACCTCTTTCTAACAGCACAACAACTATAAGTAATCCTAAGTATATGATATATATATATATATATTATTTATATATTTATAACCTCTAAGTATATAATATATATAACTTTTACCAAATATTGTTAATGGTGCCAATATACTCTAGTGGCCACATTTGCTTGGAAAGGATGCAATCATAGCATCCAAAGAGAAAGGTTGACAGACCAATCCTTGTGAAACAATATCGTTTTTTTGAACCATGAACGGAGGCCTAACAATTCTACACCCAAAACTCCCAACGCCTGTGCTTTGCAAGGTATGTTCCTTAAACCTTTGGTGTTGATGTTCAAACAGTTGAGGTATAAACGCATCGTGAGATCTGATCTTCCGGGCTGACCGGGCCGACCGGGCTGGTCTTCCGGAGGTCTTCCGTAACTAGGATTCCAAGCATCGAGGTTAGAGGTTCTTACCGAAGCACCAAGTGTTTTGCCAAGGATCCTGGACCAAAACCAGATCAGATCAACTACAAAATGACATAATTACAGGTCATAGCCTGGTCTTGGACTTCCAGAGGTATTTCGGGTCCGTGTGCCACTCTGGCAGCGAGTCTCAGGTTGTGCTGAGTCGGTGCCCCACCAGGTGCGTCCGCGCGGAGCGCGGGCGACGGGCGGGCGTATGGAGGGCGTGGAGTCGTGCAACCCATCGGAGGGGTGACAGGTGAGGCCTCTCCGCTCTGCGGAGTCAGGCGTCCACGCTTAAGCTGAGGATCATTGAGCTATAGCTCAATGATCCTCTATAGTTTGGAATTGGTCCCGTACCGCGGTGCATATGTTATAACCCTACAGGGATCCGACTGGAACCCTGTGGGGTCGCAGCCTGGGTTTGCCCTCAAAACCCTGGTGTTTGAGGCTTCGGATCCTTCTTGGAGTGTTCTTTTTGTTTCTAATATTTTTCTTTTACAGGTCCAGTCCCGGCGAACCGAGGTCTTGTGAGGTCGCGAATGGTGTTCGGAACCTGACGAAGTTCTTTTTCATCTTATTTTTATTTTTTGGACCATTACAGGTTGTAAATGTCCTTATGGGCACAATGGCAGTGTGCAGTGAACTATAGTGGATTTACATATTTGTACCTCAGAACGCAGTTGTTGAACTGAACATCAAAAAAAACTACGCAGAGTAGTTTTGCCCTTTTCGGGGGGTCTTCCAGGAGTTTGTGTGCCCTGTTCATTGGCATTTTCTACCAGGAGAACCCAACCACCGGGGGGTTCGGGGCACGGACATGGCCTTTGGTCATCGCCTGTCACACCTCGGCCGTTCCCAAACGTCGCTCGAGCTCCGAGGCGGGCATCCATGTGGAGGTCGAGTCCTTCGGCGAGCGCGTGGTCCGATCGAACACCGAGGCCGGAGCGAGGGAGGCCCTTCGGCGGACCGGGGGTGGCGTCGCACCCGATTGGGAGAAGCACAGACTGATGACCACGGGCACGGGCACGAACACGGGATCCTGCAGGTGGCACCAGAAAGGTTTCGAAGACATGATTCACCCTCTCAAAGGGTATGTGGATTCACAGGGATCAATCGTGGGCTGGGTAGTCTGGCCAGACCCCAAGGTTCAGATGGTCCAGGTGTGTACTGAAACAGACAGATGCGTGACAGGATCCATCTCTACGGGGCTCCCAACCTCCAAAAAAGAGAACTTCCGGTCCATCACAGCAGTTGCACACCTCCCGATCCATACATCCAGTCCAAGTTCATCCAAGTTCCACTTCCTGGACCCTCCAACTTTAACAGGTTGTTTCCTATTGTTTCCTGGTGACCACCCAGAAACATGCCCCAAACCACCTGTTCGGCTTGTTCCAAACCCGGCCAGGGGGCGAATCTGTTCCAAACAGCCGCACCAGCAGGTCACCGGAGTCCATTCCGCATGTCACAGGTGACTTGCAGCCAATTGGAGACCGCCACCAGCCGCGACTCACCGCCCTCGCCCGCGTCGCCGGCGACCTCCCGCGGCGAGACCGGGCGGCAAACCTCGCAGGTGCGCCACCGGCGATGCCTATCCAGACCGGACCTCCCACCATCTCTATAGAAAGGCGAACGCAAGCTTCATTGTTTAAGGTGTTTCAATGTGTTAATTTGTTTTTTTTTGTGTTTGATTGTTTAGTTGTTTGGTTGTCAACTGATTGTTCGGTTGTTTTATTTTTTTTCAGCTGCTTCAAGGAATCCCGAGCTTCTTTGGCACACCTTCTTTTCGGGTGTGCAAAAAAAAACAAGTTGACCGTCTCCGAAATGGAAGGAGTCCGAGCGAAAGACCTCACACAATTCCAATGGAAATGGATGAAACCTGGGCCTTTTTATATTTGTTCGATGCCAAATATAATATGCATAAAGACTTTATTTGCATGATGCTGCATGTTTGTGGTTGACATTGGTTGACAGAGCGGTTTTGATCAAAGGCGTCTAGTTATAAGATACCACGATTTTCCCAGCAGCCTCCAAGAAAAGAGCAAAGCAAGCATTCGACTGTTTTGACAGACTGAGCCTGGTACCTGGAGAGGGGGACCCCTTGTGATTGCCGAATCCAATACGACGGTTTTCCTGACTCAAGCAACGGCGCAGGGGTCGATACCCACCTTGCAATCCAAGCCGACAATGTTGGCGGATGATCAGGTACGCAGACGGTCTGGGTGTGCTTGCCGAACATGGAAAGGCAACGTTTGTATCACACTGTATCACCGAATCATGGACTAACAGTTCTTAGCATCCCGAAAACCTTTGATCGTTGTGTTCACTGTTTCCATCTAGTGTCAGCCTTGGTTATACCGCCGGTATTCCTTTAAAGTAGACAGGCGGTGAACCTTTACTTCTTTCTTGAGAGTTCTGAAGCAAGTTGGTCTTTCAGTTGATCCACCAGCTTTCAGTTGATCCACCAGCTTAGCCTGACGACTCCCGCTGAAGACGTTTGGGAGAACTACTACTGGGAGCGTAGCACAGTTGGCATCCTTGGAATTGATTGGTTTCTTGATGTTAAGCCCCATGGCCCATGGACCATTCTTGTTCTCAAGGTGCCCCAGTTCACGCAAAGGGTGCACAATTTTGCTGTGCGGAATGAACCTCCTGACATGTCAGCTGTTCACCCTTGCTTGAGTCAAAGTTTCACTTGCTTGAATCGCTTGGTTGTTCCACTAGGTTGACTCCTGTTTCACTTGGTTTAGTCGTTTGGTTTGTCCAACCTTCGAACCTTCGAAGTCCACGAGGTGAGTGACATCAGCGAAGCGGAGTTGCTCAGTTCCTGGGCGGCGATCCGATGGTCGTGTGATCCCAATGAATGGGGTGGGGGCGTGCATCAAAGAAAGGTCTAATTCATTGGAACGGGACCTTTTTCATTTCAGGAGGGTGAGACAAGAGCCCACATCAACCGTTTAAGTTTATTTGGGTTAGGATCATCCTCAGGAAAGATCACGCCTTGCATGCGATGCCCCTGAACTTTTGTTGCTTCGGAAAAGGTCGAACTGTTGTTGAGACAAGAGGAAACCAGACACAAAAGGACGAGACAAGAGCATGAACTTCAACCAGAAATCCCTGTGATCGGCGTGTCCCTTCTTGAGTTTGCCAGAAATATCATACCCCAACGCTCCTGGACCTTGGGCGGACCCGAATCCTCGGGTCAGGGGTCTGGGGTTTCTCACCAATCCCATTTGGTTCGGAACCCGTATAGGGCTTTGAGTGCCTTTGTGTTGGCATTCCCCCACCGGAACCCGTCTGGCCTTTGCATCCTTTGCAAAACAGCGACATGTGCGACCTGTGACGTATTATACAATTATAGATGCAAATTGCATCCTCAAGCTGACCAGCTGTGCAAGAAGATGAAGCTGTGCAGCGGCATCGAAGGCCAGGTTCCCAGGTTCGCGGTGACGGAGAATCGCCCGGAGTTGTCTCCACTGATCTACATGAAATCGTGGAGAAGGGACACGATTTGCCACTCATGGACTCAGTGGCTTTGCATTTTGTCACCCATCATTTTAGCCAAAAGCTCCCCGAAACCACGCGACCTTTGAAACCTACTGCGCGAATCCGTGGAGTCGCCTCCCGCCGTCGCATCTCGCTGGCCTTCTTCGGCGCCGTCGCTGAGGAAGAACCTCGGCCAACCCCTTCGCAGGCCACGTGGCCTTCGAGGGTCCCTTTTGCGCCGAGGCACAGCCGCGGCCGCGGCGGGGGTTCAACGAGCGCAATGACGATCCCCTTCGAGTTTGGGGAGTTTGGGGGGAGCACGGGCCGGGGGGCAGGAAGCAAATGAAAGCAATCAGAAGGGGAATCATGGGACTCCAGACTAGACTCATAGACTTCGCGAACCAGGGCTTTGGCCAAAAAACCCGCGGAGGCTTCGACCCCTCTCCATAGCAGGGTCATGCAGGGTCCTTCCTTAGAGTCCCAATACGAGACACCGCAAGAAAAACACCATCAAAATGTGACTGCTTTCGTGGAAGACCTCATGTTTTCGCTCCGACCACGTGACCCGCCGGAGGTTCCGGAGGTTTCGGCTGATCAGAATCCTTGGACCCGAAAAAACATGGCACGGAGTGGAGCCGAACCAAACCCTTCCCATTCTTTAACCCATTCTCATGTTTTCTGTTTTATGAAAAAGCAACAGATCGTTCTTTCTTTTGTTCTTATGTTCGTTCTTTCTTGTTTCTATTTGCTGGGGCAACATGTTCTGGACTCCTCAGCTCATCACGCGTCGTGGGGGCCTTCTAGCGGAGTCTAGCGAGGTGACCCCATCAGGATTGGTTGGCCAGAGATGGCTGATTCAAACGGTGGACTGGTTGACCCACTGATCCAAACATGCAGTAGACATCAGCAGACTAGTAGACAGTCCACCTCAAACAAGAAAATCTGATGAATTGAACACTCAACATGTCTTCAATGTAGTATATTATAATGGATCAACATGGATCAGCACCTCGAAGTCATGGTGGGAGAGTCTATCATTGCGGATGATCGCTCCGATATCCCAGTCAAATTTTATTGTATTCTGTATCCCTAAGGGATCCACATACCTTCTCAGAAGGGACTCAAGAGTCGCCAAGCCTACAGAAAAGAGTCTCGAATTACCCTCGCAGAGGGTACGTGGATCCATAGTGCCATAGGTATTCATTTGTTTGGACGATCTTCAGCAGGGTGACCGGGCGCGTCCTGCGCGCGATGCCGCGCATCGCGCAGGACGCGCATCGCGCGGGCTTCTTTTCAATCTTGAAGCCGCCGGACGAGGGTGAAGAGGCCGAATCAGTCGGATATCTGGTTCGTATTTCAAGCGCTGGTCTTGCTGGGGGGATATTATTTGATGTCACTCTGTTGAATCCCAAATTCGGGAATTTGGCCCAGCCAGACCCTGAGGAATATGTTTTAACATATTACAAGTAGGTATATATATATATATGTATACAATGCTTTAAAACGTTTTCTCAAAAAAGGCCACACATCCAGGTAGCAGACTGACGGAAACCATAGCACCTGCGGAAAGCCACGGAAGCTTTCGCCCGGCCGAGCCTAGGAGACGGCCCTAGTAGCGTCGGTATATTTGGGTGTCCAAAAAGCATCCAAAAAGCATATTTGGATTCAATTCCACGACATCTGGAGAATCAGTACTATATATGTTTACTAGCTTGTTGGTTTTTAAAGATCCAGACAACTGACTTCTTGGGTTTGTTCAACTTCTTGGGGCCTTTATGATCATTGAGACAAGTTGGAAACAGACCAGTTTGGGTTTTGAGACGCCCATTTTCTAATCTTTCTAGGATTCAGCACCTCCTTCGCCTCGGACCATGCAAGCTGCAGCATTCTTAAGCGAAATCAAGACAATCCGTGGTGCTGGCAGCCCTTGGCAGATTTGCAAAGTCATATCCCAGCCAACTTGTTCTGTGTTTCTGGCAAGGTTTCGCGCGACGAAGGCCGCGCTGGATGTCAAGGGCATCCACCGCGGCGTTGACCGTGTGTGACCATGCTATACTAAATGCACGTGCTGGACCTCAGGGTGGCTCCTAAACAACCTGTTGGCAGTCTCTTGCATTCAACTGGGCATTGTGGTGCTGGCAGCCCTTGGCAAAATTTGCAAAGTCATATGCCATCCAACTTGTTCCGTTTTCCTGGCGAGGTTTCACGCGACCAAGGCGACGCTGGATGTCACGATTCCACCGTGGCATTCGCCGTGTGTAACAATACCACATATGCTTGTGCTGGATCTGAGAATGGTGCCCATACAAGCCCACTGTGAAGGCTTTGAGGAAGACTTTGATTGATCACTTCCAGCTCGGCCAAGTTTGTTTTCAGATGATATTTTGTCCCAAGAAGCAACGGAAGACAGTCTTGCTCCACTGCCATCTTTGGAGATGTGACCTCAAAAGACTTCATTTCTGACTTTGGATCAAAAGGTCACCTTGTGACCGAACCAGGCGGGTGTTTAAGTTTTTCTCCAGCATGCTGACCAGGCATCAACAGCCCTTTCCTTATGATTCCAAAACGACAGTTGACATTTGCCGTGAATTTGATGGATTTGGGTATGTCTTGGGAGAACCTCCAACCTCATTTTTGGATAGACACGGATTTGAACACCGAGCCTCTAGTCCCTCACGGTTTTCTTTCCCGTGCGTTCGGGTGAAATGACTAGGGATCAATGCCCAAAGTCAATGAGTGAGGAACCATCCGGTCTTCTGTCAGCATTTCATTTCAGATCGGTTAGACCTGGCGGCACTGGTGAGTCCGGACAGCCCATGCACGGTTGGTTTTCCGTCGAAGCCTTCCATGGGACGTCGCACACTTCCCCAGTCGCACCCGCCTCCGAGTCACCGGCGGAGAGTCCTGCCGGTGAGTCACCTTGGGCCGAGCAAAGGCATGTTTTTGGGGTGGAGAAAAGGCACCCCCCACCTGGGCGCAACCGTACCTGCGTTTTTCCAATTTAATTGGGGAGCATCAGCGTCCTCAACTCAACTGTTTGTTCCACAACAAAGGCTCATGGTTCACCTTGATGGGATCGAAACGGTGGAGGTTTGCTGGGGGTCAATGCACGAAGTGCAGGTGGTTTGCTTCCAGCGGAACCACTGGCTGAAGAGAGGAATCGTGGAGGATGTGGACTTCCAGGCACCGCAATGCACCGCGGATCTCGGCTCTTAGAGGTGAAAGTCATGACTTTCGAAGGCGATGCCGCCAACGAAGGCAGCACCAGACATGGCCGAACTTGAACTGACCTTATGAAATACTCGGAGTGAGGTTTTCCGGACCAGGAGACTGGACCTGGGTCAGACTGGACCTGGAGGGATAGCTGTTTCCCACTCCGGTGCACTCACAGATTTGCGCATATTTACAAGCATCCTGGAGTTGTGAACAAACCGAAAATATGACCAGTGTCCTGTTGGTTTGGGATTTTCCAATATTCTATCTACTCCAGGACTATACCTACATTGAGGTGTTTTTGGCCTATGATTCCACACATGGAAGTGTTTGGGATTGGTTTTGTCCCCTTCTGACTGCGCAAGCTCATCGATGTGAAGGAGAGGCGCCTCCCGTGACAGATAGATCCAACCAGAATCCACTGGTGACCGGTATAGTTCAGGAAGCGGCTTGAGGTGGATGTCACAAACTGACCAATATGGAACGTGGGTCAGAACCAGGGGACCCAGGTTGACTGTCAATAATGAACACATATGAACACCCTGGTTTGGGGCTCCGGGGTTTGACCCACAGCCATACGGGACGTGGCATCACCGTAGGTAATTGGGTTGACCGTGTCCATTCTGCCCAGCTGTAGAGCGCTTTTATTGAGCAAAAGCTGTTCCAGGCAACGAAGCCTGGAAGGATCATGATTGCCTTGTCAGATTTGTCCTCGTACCATCTTCCACCGTCTTCGGTCTCCCACAGTTTTCGGTCTTCCACAGTCGGGCACCACTGGGTGGATGGCGCTAGGTGAGCACTGGTGAGGATGGCCTCATGAAGGGAGTGGAGGGCGTCAGGAGCCCCGGTGGAAGGGCTCGACAGCCGCCCTGCCTGGTGAGGGTGGCTTCGCTCATGGGATGTTGAGGCTTGGCTGTCCTGGTTCCCGAGCCGCCGCAACTCCAAGGATCGGTCAGAAACGCGAAGACGCCGCCAGACCTGGCCCTCTCTATCGACGAAAAGAAAAGAACACGCCTTTTTGCGAACGGGGTGGAAGGTTCGGATTTGGGTTGAAGTGGGGAACCATGTGTTTTTGAGCAGTATAGTTGTTTTCTCGGGAAGAAAGGACTGGATGACAAACCGTGAACAGATGCTCACCGGTATGCTACATTGAACATCGAGGGGCCCGATTCAACAGCAAACATGGCGGAGTGGATTGGTGGAGTGGTGAAACAATGTGAAACATAGTTTTGGATTGGTTTCCTGATGTTTCCCTAGCAAACGTGATCACACCTGGAATGAGGATGTCTTTTAGGTACTGAATGTTGAAAACATTTGAACACCGTCTGTGCCCAAAAGGAAGGGGGTCAAGAGGTGTGCAAGAACCCAGATTCATCCAGATTCATAAGTTTCACGTGTCTTGGTCCTGAAGACCCATATCCTCCCCGAAAACAACCACACTACATAGGAACTGTCAAACCACTTGCTAAGCTGGAGGAACATCTTCCCAACTACCTGCTATGCCATCCATGTGGCTTTAGTCACCTGGTTTACCTCATAAGATCATAGAGGAGAATCCTTCCAACTCATTCCAACTCAACTAATTTCACCACAGTGGCTACCTGAAGAATCCTTCGTGTCCGGCTGACCACTCCTGGAACGAAATGGGAGCTACCACTCGAGGCCTGGGTGAAGGTGAAGCAGCAGGAGAACCCGTGGACGATCGGACCGATATTGCCCCGTGTGCGGGCGAACGGCGATGTTCGGAGCGGCGAGTTCGTGTTCATGTGAAGCATTGTGCTTCATGTGAACAAAACTGCCCCATGTTTTGTTGGGTGAAACATCGAGACCAGTAGTTTGGGCCAACTATGGACTGACCATTGGGTGCTATGAGAGGTCCATCTAGGCAACTTCTGAATGTGAGGAGCCGGGGCGGCCGCTTTTCTCGGCCCGCTTCGCAGTGGCAGCGGATCCGCCACGTGTGACGTACACCTTCGCAAGAGGGGGACCGTCCACCACTCCAAATGGAACCCACAGCTGAAAGGATCGCCATTTGGGGATGGTTCCAGCAGGGTAAGCTCGCAAAAAGTCAAAAAGTGATAAAAGTAAAAAAGTCCAAAAGGTAAAGGGCACGAAAGCACGCAGCGAGACGTTTTGACTTGTCGATATTTTTTGGACACCAGTCACATGCCGTGCCCTTGATCCAAAAGTCTAGCAGAATTGATCCAAACGTTGCTTTTGCTCCTACAGACAGGAGAGGATCTGGAGGTCAAAACACGCAGTCCCGATGACCTTCAAAAAGAGACGCCCGCCAAAAGGACCCTGCAAGCCCCGGGACCTTTTGGCGGGTGACTCTTTTTGTCATCGTTCCCTTTTCGTGCACTTTTCGACTTTTTGCGACTTTTCGACTTTTCGCAAAAAGTTCGGAGCACAAGCTCACACATTTAGCAACCACAGCCCACAGGGACCTCTTGATTCTATGCCACATGCCTGTTTCTTTTTCGTTCTGAGTTAATTCATGTTAAGACCGTGGCACAATGCATCGACGGTCTACATTCCGAGACCATCCATGTATGGATATGTATGGCATATTTACCCACAAGTTTTCACTAGTCAAATCTAGTCAATCTATACATGGAGTGTTTGGGCATTGTTGAACTACACGTACCAGACCGCCCTATAATTCATCGCAGCGAACGGCACGGTTCGCTGTGGCAGGATGGAAGCATCTTCCATTCTTGGGCTGCGTTTCTTTCGACCTCCTCCGATCACGAGCCGGGGAACCAGGTGGGTGAGCAGCAGAGAAACCCTGAAGGTCAGAGGTGAACGTCTCCATCGGTCGTTGCTTGGAATGAGCCGTTGCTTGCAATGAATAACAGATAATAAAAGCGTTGGGAGATGCGATATGATGCGATGCTAGGAGTCAGAAAGATCAGGTTCTTCCAGTTGGGTAGGAGTTTCAAGCTTGGTTGGAAGGCTTGTGCGGGGTTCTTTCTCCCTATGGCTGAGGAGCTAGAAATCGATGCACAAGAGCAATGAGATGATTCAGTTGCTGAGTTGCTCACCTCTACCCTATGCGATGCACCAGTCTCGACTTCATACCTTTTAAGACCAATCATCCTTCTCGGTGATGCTGCCAGAGGGTGCATGTGAAGATGGCTGAAGAGCCATGATAGAAGTCTGTTTTGAGTACTTTTGGAGCTGCCCACAGAAATGGTTCCAGCGTGGTTCCGCTCATTTTTTTCACGACATCGATGTCTTCTTTGCGAAGCACCACGCAGCCGAAGCACTCAAACAACCGTCCAAAGCACCTGAAGCATTGGCCGGCTGAGGTATTCCTCCCTGTGTCTTCAAGCAGAGTCTGGAGCACCCAGTGCTGGCGTGCCACGGGTCAGCGGCGGAGGGGGCCATGGGTTTCTGTGACAGAAGCCCGGAGAAGTCGAAGACAGAAACCCTCACACTCCATGGGACGAGCTTTTTGAATAACATGTTGTTTGAATACCTAAATTAGGGTGGTTTCAGGGGTGAATGTAGGCATATTCCAGTCCCAGTTCCAGGCCTGTGCAAATCGAAACGAGGGAGTTCGGCTCGAAGAACCGAACATTTAGATCATTTACAAGTTCAGATTGGTTCAAGGATTTTCTGCCTGTCAATGTTACAGCTTTGCGATCCAAATGGTGCGAATGGTGGGGGTTGATTGCTCAGTCTACATTATCATCACGAGTTTGTTTGATATTGTTTGTGTGTTTCACGGTGTCCTTTTCAGTCTCCACAAAAGTAGACTTGTCACTCGGAGCTTCCAGGGATAGCTAAACATGAACGGATCACTCAGAAAAACAACCACTAACCACCTACCAGGTTCCACACGGTCAACCTACCCACGGCTCCACTGGGGCTCCCACGGTCAACCTACCCATAGATCCCATAGATTCATAAATGTGTCATAATAGTTTTTTCTATGGATTTCATCGACAATGCCGTGTGATGCACACCGAAGGAGGTTCCCAGTATGTTACGTTGTTGTTGTTGTTGTTGTTGTTGTTGTTGTTGTTGTTGTTGTTGTTGTT